TCAGGAGTGTCCTCTGCCACGCATCATCCACATTCATGGTTTACCCATAACACCCCTGGAGGAGGGCGAGAACCTGGACATCACGCCATCACACACACGAGCGCACACACGACGCCAACACCCTCTCTTTACCCGGTCACAGAGGAGATAATTCGGTCCTACTGTAAGGCGTGTGTCACGTCCACAGATACAGAGTGCCCTTAAGTCCGCCCCACACAGAGTATCATCGCCACTGAGTTTTACTTGTGTGAAGAGCTCCTTAACAGTGGACGGAATAACTGTCTTGTCTATATCAGTACTTGCTCTAATGTCGATGAGTAAACCCAAACTAACTATCTACAACATAAGGTATCTAATAGTCTCCTCATTAAAAGGCTGTTATAAACTCCTAACTTATGTTTTGCTTTTGAAGTTGATGACGTTCTCTATATTACCAAATGTTTCCAAACAATTTCACTTTTCTATCTCACGGTAAGGCGCGCGCGGTTCCGTTTGCCTGTCGGCGGGATGCCCCCCGCGTTCATATGAGCCCTTTGTGCCTGCGTCAGCGTTGTGTTGACTGCCAGAATCTGTCACACATTGACTGTTTGATCCAGTCTGAACACATTTGGTTGACCATTCCACGTTTAGGATCTTGCGGCTTTTTAACTCTAGGTTCTGACACGAAGAATGATTTAGTCTAGGGCCCGGTCCGGACGTGGCGCTGGATTCTTAGAGTCATCAGAGGAAACAGCTGACAGCTGAGCGTTAGCATGGTGGGGAGAAGCACGTGATTTTTGTAGGAGGGTGGAACTGCGGGTTATTCAGTGTTTAGTTGTTTAATCAGCCAAGGTCCTGTTGTTTTGATGGAGGAGGAGACCTCTGTGATAACTGACTCCAGGTAGAACACTCCTAATACCGATGAACGACAGAAGGAATCCTAACCGGTGAGAAGCTACTCAATGAGTCTTTCATTCAGTTTCAACTCACAAGCGAGATTTTACCTCTTAACTTTTCAAGGAAGAATCCAATGTTCAGCCCCGCTTTAGGTCATAATGGAGACCTGGGGTAGGTGAGGGAGATGGGAAGAGGAGATGAGGCGGCAGGGAGTGCAGGTGTCAGTTTGATGGTCGAGCCGTGCTCAGGTGGAAATCTGTCCACGCACACCTTCAACAAACAGCAGCACACGCGTCTCCCTGCATCACTCACATGGACACACACCACACAACACACACACACACAGCACCTCCTCTTTCGGTTCTCTTCTGAGCGAGCTCCTTTCCGTCCCGTGTGGGCGTGACTGGCGTTTGATGTAGCAGTCTGTTCTGACCAAACAGTCTCCGTCGATGTTGCCGGACGTCCGGATCTGGTACTTGCTTGCTGCACCCGGCCGCTGAGTCTCCAGCAGGTTGGCCCGCCCCTTCACCTGTGCGCGAGCACACACACACACAGCACACACACACACACACACACCGACACACACATATTAGAACATCCCTTGGTAATATAATAAAATCTTGACTCCGTTACGTTGAGCGTGAGTGCTACCTAGATCCTCCTGGGGTATCGTTTCCAATAAGAAACTGCCTCACTCCTCTTCTTCTTCTTCAGCGCCATGGCTAAAGGGTTCATGCCTCTGTACCAGCAGGGGCGGATGGAGGAGGAGGAGGAGGAGGAGGAAGAAGAGGCGGAGGATTGCTTGTTGGAGGGAGGAGGAGGACGGGGGGGAGCAGGGGGGTAGCTCGTTTCATACGGTTGTCCGTCTCTTGTCGCGGGGCCTCGCCGCTGAGGGAGAAAGGGCCTTCCCGTCTCATGGCCGTGGAGACGCTGGCCCATCACTGCCTCCCAGCAGTTTTGCGGGTTGTGGTGACTAGTCGGTCACGGCAGGCCGAGGGATGGTTACATGGCGATTTAAGATGGGTCTCACTTTAGGCATCGGCGAGTCGTTGAAAGGTCAGAGGTCCAGAAGAAGAGAGAGCTGAAGGGAGCGAGAGAGACGTAGGGACGAGAAGATTTTGACTATCACTCTCTGCCGAATCCAGTTAGCTTGCTTAGGCATAAGACTGGAGATACGAGGAGGGAAAAAGCTACCTTGGTCTGTCAGATGTGTGATGATAATCTGTCTAGGTGCAGAGTGTAATTTTCGTTAGAATTGTATTTAATAGTACAACACAAGAACAAAAAATAATAAAAGTAATATTTGTGTCATCGTGAGCTTAACCTGCAGACCTGGTTTTTATATTTGTTGCACTCTTTCCAACATGTCGGTCTTTTTGTAGTTTATTACTAATTTATTAAAACATCTTAACGTTTGATCAGAGGAGTCGCGTAAAAATCCGCTGGCATCGCGACCTCTCGGAGTTTGTGTAGAATGTGTAATTAACATGAGCGTTGCTTAAACATTATAACTTTTACGTAAGTTAAAGGTATTTGTTTTTTCTGTCATGTCTGGTGTGTGTGTTTGTTTGCTTGTCGACTCTTTTCTCCCACTGAAACCTCATGTTTGTTTTTCTCCGGCTGAGCGATCAAGGGACAGCTCCGAGGCCTTTCATCATCGTCCTCCGGTAGCACACACTGGGGTTCGCATTGAACACCTTTCCTCCATAGTCTGCGCCTGACGGATCAATCGCAGCTCTACTGGTCATGGATTTTTCACGGTTGCTTGGCATATCCTACATCTTAAATAAAGGAAAAGGACGGATTTAATGACATTGTGTACCTCTCATCTGTGTATTTATCTGGATATAAAACAGCGCCACGAGGAGTCAGGAGGAAAACCTAGACCAATTTCCTTGTTGAGTTGATTGATTGCAAGGAGTTGAATGGAGGGAGGGTATTATTGCTGAAATCAGGTTAGCCAGCAGAATAACACGTGCGTCCCTTTACTAATAGTATGGAGTATTTACCGTGTTTCACACACGCTCTGCACAGATGATCTTATTTTTTCTATTTCTTACTGTTTTCTTGTTTTTTTTTCCATGTCTTTCATTTATTTTTATTCGTTTTTTTTATTTCCTGTTATTTTATATATAGTCTAGTTTTCTTTCTTTTTTTTTTGTATTTTCTTTATTCTCTCTATTTTAGTAATTCTACTTTTTTATATTTTTTTTGTTTTGATCTTAAGTATTCTCTTGCTCCTTTTTTTATCTTTCATTTCGTACTGCTACTTTATACTGGTTATATTTGTTTCTCTTTTATGTTGTTTCTTATATTCTTCTTTTATCTTGTCTGTTCATTTCTGTATTATATTTTTACTCACGCACACACACAGTTCTATTTTATGTTTATCGTCTATGTCTCTATTATCATTCTTTTTTTTTTATGTTTTTTCTTTTTATGTATCTATTTGTCAATTATTTATCATATTTTTCTTTTTCTTTTATTATATATTTTTATTTTGTTTTTTTTAATATTTTTAGATTTTATTTTTTTACTCTTATTGTTTTGTTTTTTTTTCATTATCTACTTTACTGATTATCTTGTTGGTTTGTTGAGATGTGTTGTGTGTTGTTGTTTGTGGTGTTTTGTGTTGTTTTGTTTTTTTTGTTTTATGTTTTTTTTTTTTTTTATACTTGTGTTTTTTTTTTTTTTCTCTTTTTTTTTTTTTTTTTTTTATTTACTGTCTTTTTTTATTTTCATTTATTTTTTTTTTTTTTGTTATATATTTGTTTTTTATCTATCCAAACTCCATTTAACAATGAGTTTGAAGAATTTTTTTTTTTTTTGTTTTTTTTTTTTATTCTCTCTCTTCTCCCCCCCCTCCCCCCCCCCCCCCCCCCCCCCGCCCCCCCCCCCCCCTCTCTCTTCTCTCTCTCCTCTTCTCCCTCTGTTCTCTTCTCTCCTCTTCTCCTCTCTTTCCTCCTCCTCTCTCTTCTCTCCTCCTCTTCTTTCTCTTTCCCTCCTCCCGCTTCTCTCTCTCCTTTTTTTTATTTTTTTTTTTTTTTAATTCAGCAATCGTTTTATCAGATAATTCTATTTTTTTTTTTTTTTCTTATTCTTTATTGTTTTTTTATTTGTTTTTTTATCTTTATCTTTTTTGTTTTTTATTTCTTTTTAATATTTTTTTTTCTTTCATTTTTCTTATTATTTTTTTATATTTTATTATCTTTTTCTTATATATTCATCTGATTGATTTATATATATCTTATTATTTTATTTTCTTTTTTTTTTTGTAGATATGATGATATATTTTAGTTTTGTATTTAAATTGTTTTTTTGTATTTTTGTTATGTCATTTTTTATTTATTTCTAATTCTTATATTATTATCTATTTTGTTGTTGTTTTGTTTTTTTTGCTTTTTTTTTTTTTTTTTTTTTTTCTTTTTTGTTTTTTTTTTTTTTTTTTTTTTTTTTTTTTTTGTGGCTTTTTTTGTTTTTTTTTTTTTTTTTTTTTTTTTTTTGTTTTTTTTCTATGTTTTTTTATTCTTTTTCTTTTTCTTTTCTTATTATTATATCTTTTTTAATTTTATTTTTTTGTCTTCTGGTTTCCTTTTATCTTGTATTTCTTTTCTTATCTATGTACCTTTTTCTTTTTTTTATTCAATTATATATATATATATATATTTAGAGTCAGTATATATAATTTATGTATTTATTAGTATATTTTATTTATATTTGTTGTTTTTTATTATACTTATCTGAAATGTTTTTTATTATAATGCTCATTAATAATGCAATTTGTTAGATTATATATTATGATATAATTTGTTCTATTTTTTTCTTAATATTTCTTATTTTTAATATATGTATAGATTATAATATATATATAAGAGTATGTCTAACCTAAATCTTAGAGGATTAATTTATATATTTTTTTTTTTTTTTTTTTTTTTTTTTGCGCGCTTTTTTTTTTTTTTTTTTTTTGGTTTTTTTTTTTTTTGTTTTTTTTTTTTTTTTTTTTTTTTTTTTTTTTTTTTTTTTTTTTTTTTTTTTTGTTTTTTTTTGTTGTTTTTTTTTTTTTTTTTTTTTTAGAGTATATTTTGTGTGTTGTTTTTTTGTTTTTGTTTGTGTTTTTGTTTTTTTTTATTTTTTTATGGTGTGTGTGTTGTGTCAGATGGCTTTTTATTTGTAGAGGTTTTTTGTTTTTCTTTTTTCTCTTTTTTTTTATTCTCTGTTTGCTTTTCTGTTCTTTATTTCTTTTATCTTTGTTGGTATATCTTTTCTTTTATATTCGTTTTTTGGTGTTACTGGCAGACAACAAAATCGGGGTACTTTATGTTTTTTTTTTTTTTTGTTGTTTGTGTGTGTGTTTTTGTTTGTTTTTTTTTTTTCTTTGTTCTCTTGTTTTTTGTGTTTTTTCTTTTTTTGTTTTTTTTATGGTTTATTATGTATTTGTTATTTTTTTTTTTTTTTTTTTTTTTTTTTTTTTTTTTTGATTTTATGTTATGAGATTTATGTTGTATGGTGTGGCTTGTGTGTGTGTGTGTGTTGGTGGCGGGTGTTTGTGGTGTGTGTGTGTGTGTGTGTTGTGTGTGAGAGATGAGAGATAGAGAGACGACGAGAGAGAGTTGCGTGTGTGTGTTGTTGTGTTGTGTCTTGCTGTGTGGTGTGTGGGGGTGTGTGTGTGCGTGTGCTGTTGTGTGTGTGTGTGCTGTGTTGTGTGGTGCGTGTGTGGTGGGTTGGTTTTAGCTATTACATATAAACCACAAGTCTCCCTTTAATATTTCCCTGTCATTTCTCTCCGTCCATGTTGTTTCCTGTTCATCTTCAAAGGCTCTGTATAACTAAAGAGTTGAGATGCTCGCTCCTCAGCCTCTCTTGTCCCCTCCCGACCCTCTCTCCCCCTCCCCTCTTCCCCCTCCCTCACCCCTGCCCCCGCCTCACTCACTCTTTAAACTCGCGAAGGGCCGGTGGCTTCAGTGACATCACAGTCAAAGTGTGTTTGCAGGAGTTAAAATGAAGGAACGGTTAACAAAAGCTCGCTGGCTTGTACGATGAGTCAGAGGGGTGAACTTTAAACTAGTACGATGCTCGTTGACTAGTGTACCTAATACTAGCTTAAGTAATAATAGCTGCGCAAACTAGTAATACTTACTACTGATTGTCTACCTATGTATTACTGTTCTGTGTGACAAACCAGTACTAGTATTACGTATTTTTATTTATAATTTTACTCTGTGTTACTTCCATTTACCCACAGTTGACAATTATTCTGGATTGTTTTCATATTTTCTACTCATGTGGGTAACTGTATTCATTACCTTATTACGTAGTTATCATTCGTATTGCTTACTCCTGCGTTACTAGTTAACATAATAGGTAATAGTTGCTACTGAGCCAACCGAGTACAATATAACATTATTTTCAATATTTACGTATTTTCACCTATTAGGGTTAACTATCACTTTTGATTACTGTTATAAGAAGAACGATCTATTGATCATGTTAGTAGTAATTTAATGTCACTTAGGTTAATTTTTACGGATTGTGATCAGAAATGGTATCCGTTTGCTCGCAGTTTAAACTTTATTATTTCTCCTGCAAGTATTTATTATCATATTAAGCCCCGCCAGAGTGGAGGGGGGATCTAGTGTCGCTCTGGATAGACATATGAAGTGTAGGAAGTCAGCATATTCTACAGTTCTATACTTTTATAAAGTGCATAGGCCGCATTTTGGTTAATATTTTATGTACCTTTCCATGATCTTACATACATATAGCAGCAACAGTGGCAGTACTTTGACTTGTAAGTAGAGATCTTGTTGTCTTGTATGAGTGTTTGAGGTACGTTTTACTCCGATAACTTCGGCTCACACAGGGTCGGTGAAAGCTGCTCAGGTTTAATATGCCGGAGAATAAATAAGTATAAATCGAGGCGCCCCCCCCGTCGTTCCCTT